CCACCACCTGCCTCTTTATCTCTAGCTCCTTAAGTCAGGAGTTCTGCTCAGCAGCAGCCCTTGATATTATGGAAGTCAGCCAAGGTCAGGGCTGGAGTAAGAATGACTCACACCCTGCTCCTTGATCTCCACTGGGCACAGACTGGAGCCTGAGGAGTACTGTGATTTTCCAGCTCATAGCCCTGTGCTTCCATCCCTGAAACACTAGACCATGAAAGAACTGACACAGACCATGTTTCACATTTAGAAAAAAATAAGTTTCTACTGTCTGTTCCTAACCAATGTGCTTCTGATTCAGAGCTGACTATTTTAAGCACCCTACACAGGCTTGTGCAAATAAAGGCAATCATTATGGTTAAAATATACAATTGATAGTAATACAGTAAACAATTACAATACCAGGCCAGGTTCAGTAAGATTTTTAAATATTTTACTTGCTTGGAATCTTTTATCATTTAAAAAACAGAAAGATTATAGATAAAGTATACCCACTCCCAGTTCTGTTCTCTCCCTTCCTCTGCAGGGGTAACAATAACAAAGTTAAAGTATCATTCCTTAAATAGTTTTATAAATGCCTATATCCATAAACTTGATGTTAAATTGTTTTGTTGGTTTTAAATCTTTATCTAGAAAGCCGCATTCCTCTTTTGTCATTTTTTTCTTTTTTTAAAAATTTTATTTAAAGAAAAACTAAACAAAACAGAAAATAGGGAGAAATAATACATTCAGAGAAAAAAATGAACATTAAGAAATCACTAGTTGATGTTTACATATTGTCCTTTTATAAATAGTTGTTCAAGATACAAAAATGGAACATGTAAAGTGGGAATTCAAACAGCGAGACTGCAAACAGTTCTGTTCAACTGTCCAACAAAAACTTAGTAACATGGTTCTCAATCCTATACACTTAAACATACATGCAGTTATCCATAGCTTCATTTATGTTTAGATTAAACAAACTAAAGCAGGTTAAAATCATTCTGAACAAAGAATAATAGTATTGCTGGATTTCACATCATGACACTCTGTGATCAGCACTGGGTACTGTAGTGTCTTTTTTTAAAATTTAATTTAAAGAAAGATTAAACAAAACAGAAAATGGGTAGAAATAATATATAATTTCAAAGAAAAAAACCCAGAAATTATAGGTGATGATTACAGATTGTCTTCTTACAAATAGTTATTCAAGATACTAAAGTAGAGCTTATAAAGTGGGAATTCAAACAGTGAGATTGCAACCAGTTCTGTTCAACTATCCAACAAAAACTTAGAAATATGGTTATCAATCCTATACACTTAAACATACATGCAGTTATCCATCTCTTCAATTATGCTGACATTGAATAAACCCAAGCAGGCTAATATCACTCTGAACAAAGAATAATACTATTGCTGGGTTTCACATTAGGACACTCCAGGATCAGCACTGGGTATTTTAGTGTCTCTTTTTCTTCAGAGTATCTGTTCATTTCATCATGTGTCATATGATCAGTTCTCATAAACTGTTTATAGATTCTACACATGCATTTCTATCTTTTCTATATTAGAGGGAGAAACAAAACAAAGCAAAGCAAGGCAAAACAAAACATATTCCTATAAACATATGAAACAAAATAAATATATAAGACAATTGTATGAATCATTCTACCATAGTTCCTGTGTTATCTCTTGTTATCTCCAATAGAATTGGCTATATCATCAGACATAGTATAATTGAATGTCAGTACATAAGAGTATTAATAAAAACACAACTTTGTATATAATATAGAACTTCAAAAACCAGCAGTTATCAAACCAGATGTGTATCGCTGAGTCTTATCATCCTCATTGTAGTTGCCTATACTCTCAGACTTGATACTATCAATCATATCAGTTTTGAATAAAATCTCTGCGTCATTGCTGTTATGCTCTTTTTTTGCCCTCAGTTGTCTGCTTATCTTCTTCATTCTGTTTTCTGCTCCATTCATTGAGGCCTCTCTGCCACTGTTCCTGGAATCCTAGTACTTTTCTTTCTCTCTAGAATGCCCTGGAGTATTCTCTGTAGAGTTGGATTGGTGGTTGCAAATTTCCCAAGTTCCTCTTTGTCTTGGAAGTATCTTGTTTCTCCATTAATTTCTAGAGACAGTTTATCAGGGTATATCAATCTAGGATGGAGGTTATTTTCTTTCAGGGCTTGGAATATTTCGCTCCAGGTTCTTCTTGACTTGATGTTCTTTTTGTTTCAAGAAGTCTGCCATTATTCTGATGGGCCTTCCTTTATAGGTGATCTGTTTCTTGTCTCTAACAGCTTTTAATATTCTGTTCTTATATTGAATTTCTGGGATCTTGATTATTATACGCCTGGGTGTAGCTCTGTTTTGGTTGTAGGTGGCTAGAGTTCTGTATGCCTCATATATCAGCATATCATTTCCTTTTCCTATGTTTGGGAAGTTTTCTTTACTTCTTCTGTGGATAACCTTTGTAGTTCCTTTGTTTGTATCCCAGCTTCTTCATTTACATTCATTATTCTCAAGTTATAGATCCTTTTGTCATCTTCTAGCCTTTTTATTGTTACTGCTTGTTTCCTTGCTATTTTTAAGAAGTTTTCCCTTTCATACTCCCACATTGCAAAATTGTCCTCCAGTGTGGATAATCTATCCTTAGTTTCTTTCAGGGTGATTTGCCACCTTTCCATAGAGTTTTTAATTTCCTGGTGATCTCTTTGAATCTGCTTCATTTATTCTATATTTTTTTTATATTCTTCACCAAATGTTTCTCTCCTGTGTTTGAGTTCCTCCCTTCTTCCGTGTCTGCTTGTGGGATGCTTAGTATCTCTTTTATTAATCTTCTTATATCTTGATTTATTTGGCTGAATATTTCACTTTTGAACTCATTTATGAGGTCCCGAATATATCTCTTTATGTCCACTGGCACTGTATCTGATATTGCATGTTTGCTGTTCTCATTCTCCTTTGTATTTACCTGTTCTGGGTCAATGTTCTCATGGTTGGGGCCTGGGGACTTTTTGTTGTTGCTTCCTCTTCCCATCTTTTTTTGCTTCTTTCAGGAGGCCCCAGTTTCTTTCTTTGTTGGTTACAATTCTTCTGAAGTGCGCTGGCTAGATGATCCTTCACACTGCAGTGTGTTAGTGAGTTGCAGACAAGGACTGTGTATGCTGGCCCCTCCCCTTCAGATTAATCAAGCTGCTGTGGCCTGCACTACTGTATTACTTTGTGCTGCCTCCTTTTGGACCAGCGACTGGGCCAGTGTGGTTAGTGTGCGCCACTATTGCAGGGACTTGACCTCAGATAACCTATTGGGTCTCAGCCAGGTCACGTGACCCAGGTCTAGCTCACTCCACCAATCCCATTCAGGAAGGGAACACTTGACTGAAGTCACTGCTGCTCCTGTACTTGCCAGTTCCGCCTGATCCCAGAATGTCATCTGCTGGGGCCCCTCTATTTATGGAATGGCTCCACTCCCATCACTCACCACAGATCAATGTAGACTCCCCGCCAACTCAGCTCTCCATTGGGCTCGCTGACCCACAAACTCAGTGTAACTGCACCTTCAGTGAGTTGAAGTGGCAGGACCTAGGACAGCTCGGCAAGTCAAGGCAGGACCTTGGCGAGTTGCAGCAGGACCCCAACCAGTCTTGTCAGGATCCTGGCCAGTTACAGTGGGGCCTCCATGGGAACTCGGCCAGTTGTGGCAGGACCTCTTGGCAAGTCACCTCGTCGGTCAGTTGGGGCGGGACCTCGGATGGTCAGCAAGTCACCTTAATTTCTTCTTGGGATGAGATAATTCATCTCCTCTGTTTGGGGCTCCCCACTCTGTATTATGTTGAATTCTAAGTTGACTATCTCAGGGTGCTTCTGTAGCCGGTTGTCTATCTGCCATCTTTGCTCCTCCCCGCTCTTTTTTCATTTTTTAACTCATGCTTGTCTTTAGCATTCTACTTATATGATTTGTCTTTGTGGATACAATGTGATAGCCAGGTGTCTCTGCCAACTGCATAGGCTAAGCTACAACCTCTAGTTATTCAATTAAACACTAGTGTAGGCATTGCCATAAAGGTATTTTCTAGATGTAATTAAATAATAATTAGTGAATTTTAAGTAAAGGAGATGATCTTACATAATCTATATGGACAGATCTAATCAGATAAAAGGCATTTTAGAAAGGCAGTTGGAAGCCAGAGTTGAGGATTAGCTAGAGAAGAAGAAATTTCCACCAGTGAACAACATCAGTCTGCTGTTTCTGACTATCTGTCCTGCGGACTTCAGACATGCCTGACCAGCCACTCCTCCCAATCACAGAAGCCAACTCATTGCAATGAACCTCTTAATACTAAATCCTACTGGTTCTGTTCTCTGGTTGAAAAGGGAGGAATGCAATACATGTCCCCTTAACCACTCCTGGATTGATTCATTCCCTCTCTCCTTCCTTCCTTCCTTCCTTCCTTCCTTCCTTCCTTCCTTTCTTCCTTCCCTCCTCCCTTTCTTTTTTCTCTCCCTTCCTCCCTCCCTCCCTCCTTTTTTCCTTCTTCATCATCTTCCTTCCTTCCCCACCTCCCTCTTCCTTCCATCTTGGTTATATAGCAAGAGTCAGCAAGTTTGTCTTATTAAGGGTCAACAGCATATACTCTAGGCTTTCTGGGCTCCAATGATATCTGCTATTATTCCACAATATTAATATAGTATGAAAGTAGTTCTAGTCAGTGAAGAAGTATTGCTAGTTGTTGATGATGTTTTGTTTATACAAATAGACATTAGGATGGATTTGACCCAAGGACTGTAGTTTGCTATATAGTATGACATTGTATGAATAAATTGGTTTATTGTTTGTTTGTTGGTGGATCTCCCCATACCCATACTATATGATACATAGTTGTCAGTACTGTAGCTACCTATCACTATTATATTCCTTTGTTTGTGCATATGTTCATCAGTTTTCCTCCATCTAGCTAGAAATGGAATCACTGCTCATAAAATATGTGATCTATAAAGAAAGCAGACTATCTGGCCCTGAATTAAGGCCAGCATCTTCCTGAAGCTGTTGGTTTCAAGCAGGAGCCTAAAGAGATGTCTTTCTATGGTCTGTTGGTCATTTCACAACTTGAGCAGTGAAATGGTCAATTCATTAGAAACAGCTTGAAGCAACCCCTCCCCCACTGGTGAGTGGCTGTGAGTGTGGCAGGCTGTGGCGGCCCAGGACAGGAGCCACAGGTGTTTGCTGGGACTCACACCATGCCGGGATCTGGAGCACCAGGAAACCAAGCAAACCCTCCTCCCTTGCTTGTTTTGTTTTGTTGAGCTTCACTATACATAAAGGTGTGCATAGCTATTTTGAGAAGAATGGCAGACTCTATGACAGCCATTAGTGACTTCCCTCTTGTCTGGTTTTGAAGACCTAAAAATGCCTTCCTCATTCAGTTCAGATCAGTTTTATACTATGTTGTTTTGTATGAATTTTCTGTATGTGAAGACATGAACAACTATTTGGAAGAAAACAAGAGACAATATGATAGACAGTGAAGATCTCAGGTCTAGCTTTGAAATTTATATCTCTTACATTCCTGTCATGTCCTATTTTGTTGTTTTGTTGTGTTTAATTTTTACCCCCTTTAAAATAAAATTTTAAAAAAAGAAAAAAAAAAGAAAGCAGACTACATAATGCCATATTACATGCTAAAGAAATTGTTTCAAATTACTCTCCTGTTAATATTGCATCAGAATTCCATTTTCTCCACATCTTCCTTACCACTTGGAGTTGTCAGACTTATATTCAAAATCTGACAAATGCAAAGTTGTATCTTATTAGAGTTTTAATTTAGATTTACCCAATGATTAAAGATGAGAAGCATCTCTTGATGTGCATACTTTCTATTCATACATCTTCTTTAATAAAGAGTCTATTGAAATTTTTTGCCCTTTAAAAATTATATTTTGTTATTAGAAAATTTCATGAGCTCTTTTTATATTATGGATATAAATCCTTTGTTGAATATGCAAATATTTCCTCCAGGTCTGTAACTTGTCTCTTAATTTTCTAAAATGTCTTTTGCAGAGCAGTAGTTTAATTTTTATAAAACCAAATTTATCAGTTTGTTCTTTTATGAGTTGTGTTTCCAGTGATGCATTTAAGAAAATCTTCACTTATCTCAGGATCACAGTTTTTTCCCTTGTGTTATCCTCCAGGAGTTTTACAGTTTTAGGTATTACATTTAGTTATGATGTATTTCAGTGACTTTTTGATACAGTATAGTTATTGGTCAAGATATTTTTTTTTTTGCACATGGATGTCCACTTTTTTCAGCAGTATTTGTTCAAAAAACTTTCTCTATTGTCTTTGCGTGTCTGTAAAAATTCAGCTACTCATATGTGTGAGTCAGCTTCTGTGCTCTATATTTTGTCTATCCGTTGGCTAATATCACCCTGTCTTCATCACTGTAACTTTGTACTAATTCTCAGATCTGGTGGCATGAATCCTCAAAATTGTTCCACATTTGCAAAGCTATTCTAATTTATTTACATTTCCTTATCAATATTAGAATCAGCTCATTGATTCTACAAAATATCCTGTTAAGATTTTGATTAGAATTGTGTTGAATCTGTAGATCAATTTGGGGATAACTGACACTAACAATGAATACAATATATCTTTCTATATATTTATTTTCTTTTCTTTGGGTGATATCAGATGAAATGTGTCCTATCAAAGACTCTTATATTGAAGGCTTGAACCCCAATGCAGCAATATTTGCAGGAGGGGCCAACAGAGATGATCAGATCATAGGACAATAACCTTTCATCAGTGGATTAACCCACTGATGATTTTATAGCTAAATGGGCCTCTAGCAGGTGGGGTTCACTTGAAGGAAGTAAAAATAAGTATGCCTTTGAAGGTGGTGTCCTGTCCTTCACTCCTTCCTTTCTCTGTGACTCTCTCCAGCCCCCACTTTCTGGCTTCCATGCAGTAAACTATATTCCTCTGCCACACCCTTCCACCATGATGCTTCTGCTTTGCCTCAGGCAAAGCAATAGAACCAGCCAACCATGGATTGAAAGTTCTGACACCGTGAACTGAGACAAACTTTTCTTTTGAGAAAAAAAAAATTTTTTTTTATCGGTACCAGGGATCGAACTCACAACCACGCACTTGTAAGGCAGGCGCTTATGCTGTTGAACTAGATCCCCAGCCCCACTTCTCTTTTAAGCTGTGCACGCCAGGTATTCTGTTCCATTGTTAGAAAAGTGACTAACGCAGGTGCTATTATAAATGGTACTTTTAAAAATGTTGCTTTCAGGGGGCTGGGGATTTAGCTCAGCGGCATAGGCGCCTGCCTTGCAAGTGTGTGATCGTGAGTGAGTTCAATCCCCGATACCGATAAAAAAGAAAAAATGTTGCTTTCAGTTGTTCATTGGTGGGCTCTAGAAATGTAAATGACTTTTTTTTTTTTTTTTTTTGGTCTTTTTCGTTTTTATCGGTACCAGGGATCGAACTCACGACTGCCTGCTTGCAAGGCAGGCGCTTATGCCGCTGAGCTAAATCCCCAGCCCCTAGAAATGTAAATGACTTTTAATTTTAGCCTTGAATCTTTGAACCTTGCTAAACTCATCAATTCTGAAAATGTTTCCTTTGCTAATTTGTATATCGGTTTGTAGTATTTTTTTGATTCATGAAAATTCCTTTTATAACCTGTATATTTATTCTTTGTGGTGCTTTAATAAAATACCTTAGCCTGGGTAGTTTATAAACAATAGAAGTTCAATGCTTATGGTTCTGAAGGACAAGAAATCCAAGATCAAGCAACTGGTAGATACAGTTTCTGGTGAGCACTTGTTCTCTGCTCCGAAATGATAACTTGCTGTGTCCTTCTTTGTCTATTTACGTGTGTGTATGTGTGTGTGTGTGAGAGAGGAGAATGTGTGTGTGTGTGTGTGTGTGTGTGTGTGTGTGTAAGAAGCCTAAGCCTCCATCCATCCAGGTGCAGCAGGCTCATATTCAAAGGTAACACTGACCAAGTCTTATAAAAAAAAGATTTTGAGAAAATAAATATCTTTAAATGAATGTAGTTAATTCTGGCACTCAGGAAGTTGAGGCAGGAAGACTGAGTTCATGGCTAATCTGAGCTGCATTGCAAGTTTAAGCTCACACAGGCTACATAGCTATACCTTGCCTCAAAAACGAATAGACAAACAAATGTCACCAAGGCTCTCTGTTGCTTAATGACAAGTGTTGCTGTTTTCATCATATACCTTAGCAGGCAGTAGTGCTAGCCGAATGACTGAAGAAAGCTGACATAATTCGGGAGACACGACGGTGTAACAGAAGGCAGTGGGAATGTAGAGGTACACAGACCTGGCCACACTGGATTATGGGATCCTTCACTTTCGCCTCTGTAGTTCAGGGACAGTGATGCCTCTCTGGCAAGTTGGAGGCCCTCTAGAGTTTGGCCTGAAGATTGGAGTAAATGTAATGAAGCATCTGGCCTCCTAATTAACTTTGACAATTTTGTTGCAATTTTATTATCATCACCACAGGTGCCTTATGTGGTTCCTTCGGCTCTGATCCACCCCTAAATCACCCAATTGTGGTTTTCCCTTGTCCTTTCTTGTCAGCTGTTCACTCATATGCTGGGCTGGATGACTTCATTCATCTGTGCCAATCCTGTCCATCACCAGCCAGCACACCTACTTTCATTCTTCTAGTCCTCCACTTCATCTTTCTTTCAAATGTGCCAGATCACTGGATGATGCCTTCCTTCTAGTGCCCAGGCTCCTTCTTTCTCAGCCTTGTCTTCTTTCCAGCATGGGTGATTTTTGTGAGTCAGTAGGTTGGGTCTAATGCTGGAGTCTAGAACGACACAAGGAAGCAAATTCACTGCAGCTTTATTCTGCATTGTTTACCAAAGGTGCTACTGAAGACCTTTGTTTACCCAAGATATTTTCATGCTTGGTAACTACAGAGTCTAATCACATTCTTCTCCGTAAAGCCACGTATCAGAGTCCAGGGTGACAGCCAATGTATTGCTTCTGGGAAACATGTAGCTTCCCTGGTTCTTTAGGGGAAATGCAGCTCTATGAGTCACACCTTTTGTTTTCTGAGACACATCAATAATAAACTGATTTAGTGTACCTCATCTGCTCATAATCAAAAAGTGAGTGTAAAGCTTTTAGAACCTAAAAAATGGATGTAAAATTTATAAAATCTAAGAATGAAGAAAATTCTTACATTGGATCACTGAGCTTATGAAAGATGTGAAAGACAGGTGATGTAGATAAGGGGTCTGGGAGATCGTACTGTAGGCAAGAACCCTCTTTTTTGGCTAAGCCTCTCTGTAACACTGCAAAATCATTCCTGTATGTGTTATCTTCTTGTGGAGAAGGGTTTGTAACTCATCTAGTAAACAATTATTTTTTAAAGTGGGTATGATGGGAACCATGCCAATAAAGAGGAAGTTGAGTTGTTGTAAGCATTCTGAATACTTAACAGGGAACTCAAGCCTTCTCTGTCACTGATCTAGAACCCTGGTGCCCAGAATATTACATCTCTTTTGGAGAGGGATCAAGTTGGCCTAGGAGCTCAGGGTGAAGAGTTTAGTATGAAGCCCTTCCGGAACATACTCAGGGAGACCTGTAGGAATGCTTAGTTAACAGCTGCCCCTCTTCCTTCAGAAACTTCAGCCAGCATTTTAGTTCCCCCACTCTTCATCATGAGCAGACACACCATGACACCTTAAGGAAAACTTCAAAGACCAACACAAAAAAATCCAAGAATGGTGCCAGAAAGAAACAGGCTATTCAAGGAGAAGCAATGGTCAATATTTACACCCCGAACTATCATAAACATCTGCAGGGATATAAAAGATATTTTATTCATGAAATCAGAATGAGGTTATATAATCAAAATGTAGAAAACTAAGAGAGCTTTTAGAAAGTATAGATTTCACATGAAAGCAGAAGTGAAAATAATTCAAGAAAGAGAAGTAAAAAGATAAAGCTGAGAGAATCTCCCAGAGAGCAGAACAAACTGACAAAGAGAGAAAAACGGTAAGAAATTGGAGGAGCAATCTAGGAAGTTCAGTACTTCTGTAATAAGAATTTGAAAATGAGAGAAGATAAAACCACTGATGAACTAATTCAATAAAAATGT